TAGATAATTATAACATATTGAATAAAAACTAAATTAGCTATATGTAAGATATTGAAGGTTCTAATAAGCTTTCTGTTAAAAATAAATTAGTTCTAAGAGTCTCAAAAGCATCAGATACTTTGAATAAATATAGCTTGGAAGATGTTTCTATGATCACAAGTCAGATTACATATGCAGAGAGTTTAAAAAGGCAAGATCTGTAGTTGGCTTGCAGTATGGCATTTAGTATAGAACCTATATAGTAATGTATAAATGAACTACTTAAATTAGACACCAAAAATGCATATATGACTAGTTGTAATCTCCTATATATAAAAGCCTTTGGAGACATTTATGTTCAAATATTTAAATAAAAATATTGATCTCCAAAGGCAAGGACTTTAATATTAAAAAAAAAAATAAAATAAAATATTTTATTACAAAGATATTTTATAATCTTTATTAAAAAATTTTTTTAAAATTAATAAAAAACTTTTAAGTAATAAAAATTTCTTTAAATTTTTTAAGATTTTATATATTTTTGAAACTAAAAAAATTTTTATTCTTAATACAAGTCTAAATTTTTACAAATAAATTAAAAAATTATATTAATAAAATTGATATTTTTTATATAAGTTAAATATTGTATTAAAAATTACAAGTTTAAAATTAGTATTTAAAGAATTTGTTAAGAATTAGTAAATGATTTTTTTGAATAAAAAATTTTTTTAAATTTGTCTATTTGTAACTTATAAATAACTTAATTTTTTTTTATAATATAAAATTAAATATTATTATATTATAATTTTTATTTTTATTTTTTTTTAAATATTAAGATAAGTACTTGTAATCTAGAATTTTATTAATAGTATATTTGGCTAATGGTTGCATTACAACTATAGAAAGCAACTATGAAAAGAATATATAACTAGTTACTCATATAACTTTAGTTATTGTCTAATTTAAGTAGTCTATCTGAAGGTTTTATACTAATTGTTATACCTGAAACCTGCTTGTAGACTCTCTATTTAACTATTCTATTTTTTGTATTCATCTATTTACTTCTGCTTACCAATGACCCTGACTAATATTAGTAAAAATATATTATAATTACTAAGTTTTTAAAGCAGTTCTTTAGAACCTTTAATCTTGTACTAAATCTTCCAAAATCTTCTGTATTTCATTCTTATAGCTGACTTGGTATTATTATGACTAAGACTAATACTAATAATCAGAATGTACCATTAAACTACTATTCTTTGTAAAGTTTATCCAAACTCTGGTATTAACTTTACAATATATCCTTACTACTTTGGTATTCAATTCAAGTTTTACCAAACTGCTATTTCAGATAGTCCAGAAAGGTAGATCATAACCATATACTTTTAGTTTACATGTTTGCTAACATGTATTCTTTTTTTTTAAAATTTAAAAATTCTAACAACCTGGTTGGTTTATCTGGTCTTTCTACAAAAACTAATATATTTATCTGATTTTACAAGTTTTAACTCTGTTTTATAAGTTTAGTCTTTATAGTAACACTATCAAAAGTTTAAATTATCTTTTTATTCAGGTTTTTCAAATAAACTTCTGTCTTCCTATCTGGTTTCTGTGATTTACATAACCTAAGAACTTATCTTAAGTTCACACCACTTGGTACTAGTTGATGTTTCTTTATACAACATTGTATAAGTACCTAGACCTTTCAGTTATGCTAGTATGATACAGATTACAAGTATCTAATTTTAACCAATTACAGAAGACAGTTAACCATAACACAGAAAAAATTGTAAATTTTTACTATCACTGGGATTTGAACTCTAAACCTGCCACTTGAAGGTTAACAACCTATCTACTTCACTAGTTTACCACACTCTATAATTCTTATTTTTAAATATTATTAAACAAAATTTTATTAGAATATTTTAAAATTTAAAAAATATAAATCATAAGTATATTTTTGTTAATTTTCCAAGTAAATTTATATAAAAATAATTTACAATTTAAGAAATAAGTTAATTTTATTATATAGTTTTATAGTCTAATGTTTAAGATTTCATATCTTAATAAGTTTTTACCCAATTTTAATAATTTTACTATTATTAGAATTAGAAAAACTTACTCTACAACTTTTACATATGATTAAAAATTATTTACTTAATATATTTTTTCAAAAAATTAAATATAAAAAAAACTTACAAAAATTTGCAATTAATTATATATATAAATGAGCAATGTTATACTCTACCCTTAATTGAAACCCAATTAATTGCAATATTAATTACAAAATAATTGCCATTTGCCACATGGTTGCAATGGATCATTATATGTAACAAATAAGAATTTACTAATTAATCGTATTAGTAAACTCTTATTTGTCAAGCAAATAATTCATCACACTAAAAATTGCCCTCATAATCAATTATTCGGTAGGCCTGGCAATGACTCAACAAACTCTATAAGAAAAACTTACCTAACATGTGTAATTAGCGCCGAAAAACTTATAGCTATTTCTTCATAAAATAGTTTGAATCTTCGACCCAAATCTGGGTTAGATTCTCCGATTTTTGGAATTCTTCGAATCTCATTTTTTTAATGCATTTTGCGTTAATGGACATCGGAAAAATTTTCATACTTTACTACCATTAGTGGATTGACTCGACTATATCGACTATTGATCCAACTCGATCAATAATCGATCATGAACATAATTTGGTAGACTCGATCAAAAGTAGGAAATTATTGATCAATTATGTTTGATCGATCAGATGAATGATTTTGATCGATCGTGAAAATTTCCGTAAAATGCATTATTAATTTACCACATTAAATTTTTTTTTAGTAGATAAGATATAATAAATTACAGAATTATGTGCTTGATCGATCATACTCGATCAAGTTTCCATAATTGATTTTGTTCGATTAAGCAAAAAAATTTTTGGTCAATGATCGAGCAATGATTTTTGTCGATTTTCTCTGGGAGCAATTTATTTTTTCTGTCAAGAAACGTTTAAGGATTACTCGAATAATTCATCACAAGATTGCTACTAAAAGAATGTGCTAAAAAAATTTTAGTGTGTGTCATAAGGTCAGTAATTTTAAAATGTGTCGTAAGGTAAGTAATTTGTTTATTTATTAAAATGGAGAAGAATTAAAACATGATACAATATATTTAAAAAATTTTTTTTATACACGATGCATCGCCGGGGTATAGCTTAAGCGATTTGACCAATCAGGATGCGGGATCAGGCGTAACGTGAAAATCAAAGCAATTACTGAATTATGATCAATGTTAATAATACCTTCTAAACTATTTACTAAATTTATACATGTAAAATTATATTTATTGAATTCCTCTTCATGCGCTCTTTAAAGTAATAGAGCTATTATTCATTCTTCATATAATTAAAACGAAAACGGGTTGTTAAAATCTGATTTATTCTAAGAAAACAACAAAAAGAGCTCTATTACCTTAAAGAACGCATGAAGAGGAAATTTTACATGTATAAATTTATTACAGTCAGACCTCTCTAAATGCACGTTGTTGGGACCGGCTCTAGAGCGTGCATTTAGAGAAGGTTGCAATTAGAGAACACTAATAAAAGCACAATGTGACTATTTTTACAGCTTTAATAGCCTAGAAATAATGAATTCGATTGGCTAATAATCACGTGAATGCATTTATGGAGGGAGTTTTTATGAGTGGGCCAGACAATTAACATGCATTTATCTATAAGTCCTGCCATGGGCCCGAACTTATATCATGCATTTAGAGGGATGATGCATTTAGGGAGAGTGCATTTAGGGGGTTTGACTGTAGTTTAGAAGTTATTAACATTTAAGCTTTATATGTATTTACTATTAAGAAAGATTCATTATACGTATGACTTCGACTATGTTTGTGATTAAACTAGTTGGTGACACCCAATCTTAAATGATAATTATCAAATAAAAGGATACAATTTGATTAATAATGACTTCATATTTCATCAAAAACCTCATTTAATTATTGGTTAGTTCTAGTAAGAAACTAGGTTCGCGATTTATTACGAAAATTTTCTTTGACCTATACATAATATTAATAAATTAGGTCTAGAGTATTTTAATGCTATGCAAAAATATAAGATTTTTGCATAGTGATTCAATTTAAGAAAAGGATATCACAGTCGGAACTTATTATAGTAGTAGAATCCAATTCATTACAATGAAAAGTATTTTTTTTTACTAAGTAAACATCTTTTGAATCTTTAATTAAAATGTAGAATGTGTTATTCCGATCCTAATGATAACAAAATCACAAAATATTAAGATTTTTGCTTTTTTTACTATATGGTTTTTCAGCATTCCATAGGTTATAGTAAAATGACCGCGGTATTTTATACCCCTTAACTGCGGGACTGCCCCTTAAATCATTTTAATACCAAGATGAATTAATTTTTTACGAATTTGAATGTTTTTTTGTACAAATTTAAATGTCACTTTGTACGAATTTGGGTGCCAAAAGGGATATAGGTTATAGAATTAAAACAGATATTTCTATCAATTTGGATAGGCATTCACTGAAATATTTTCACTTAAGTCTGAAAAAAAACATCGATATAGTTACCAAGGATCGTAAATTTCGTCCAATCAGAATGTAATACGTAGTTCGGGTAAAATATTTTAGTGAATTAAGATAGTGCATTATGTAACATAAATCCCAAACTTTAACATTATTTTATTACAGTTTTCTTTTTTAGTTGCATGTATCACCAGCATAAATGAGTAAACCCATATTAGTTTTACTTGTGAGATGTTTCATCTTAAAAAACTCTAAACAATGCAGTGATTGCGGTAAACTAAACTACCAAACTTGGATTAATATATGGCTGGAGACTTTAAGTTAAATTTGATTGGTTCCTAATGATAAATGCGTCTTTTTATAACAGGATGCCAAGTTCATTTTCGTTATTTCAAAAGTTACATTTTTTTTACTTCCATATAACAGTATAATACACATTCTCTATTTTAATATCGAAAAAATGACTGACAAACAACCTAGTCGTAGAATGGTCGCTTTTTCAGTCTCTTTCTACATCACCACTGCACTAGTAATGGTCTTCGTGAACAAAGTACGTAGCATATTGTCAAGATCTTTTCATTTCAATTTTTATGTAACCTTATTTGCTTGTTTAGTGGGTATTGAATAGCGTCGATTTACCCTTTTCTTTACTTTGGTTCCAAGTTACCTTTGCGGTAATTCTTTTACATATCTCGGCAGCTTTTGGTCTCTTTAAATTACCAATAATACAAAAGGATATATGCGTTGGTTTATGGCCACTTATTCTCATCAATGTTTTGGGATTAAGTTTTAACACAGTGTGTCTACAATATGTAGATGCTAGTTTTTATCAGGTTCGCTATTTTATCTACATTGCTAAAAAAAAGATGTGTATTTTATATTCACATTTTCCTATGCGTTTATAAAGGTCGCTCGTGCATTGGTGCTTCCCTTTACAGTTTTATTTTCTTATATGTTTCTTCAGCAAAAATCATCATCAATGATTCTTTTATCATGCTTTACTGTCTGTGTGGGATTCTTTGTTGGTGTGTCTTCGGAGCGCTTAACAATCTCTATGCTTGGAGTCATGTTTGGAATATGTTCTTCTATTTCTACAGCTTTGCATGCTATTATTATAAAGAAGAGTTTAGATGTTGTAAAAGGCGATACTATGGAATTGGTTTATTATAACAATCTTTTGAGTGCTATCGTGTTTCTTCCCATAATCTTGCTAGCAGGAGAACAAAAAGACGTTTTCGCGTTATTTTTTGACTCTGATCCTACCGGTTTATCTGATGGTAAAACTAATTCTTCCGCTAGGACTTTTTTCGTCGGTATTATTGTTACGGTATATATAATACAATTATTATTATTTTTCATTAATTGCACGATACATTTTCATTGTGCTAATTCCTATTTGATGTTTTGAAGGGATTCTTCGGCTTTTTGATAAATGTCGCTGGATTTCTCCAGATCAAGGTCACTTCGCCTGTGACACACATGATTTCATCTGCATTTCGTGGTGTTGTTCAGACCATTCTTGGTGCACTTTTATTTGCAGAAATTTTGACTAGTGGCCGTGTTGCCGGCATATTTATAATTCTCTCAGGAAGCTGTTTATACACATGGTTCAAGGATCAGGAAAGCAAGAAAATGAGGAAAATCGAAGCCTCTGGAGAATTAGAAAAAGGAGAATTGAACCAGGATAAAAAAATTAATCTTGAGGGCGAAAATAATGAGAAAGAAAATGTGTAATTTAATCAAAGAAGCATACATTTGTAAAACTTTACATGTTTATACATTTTAGAATAATAATTTTACTACAATAATTCCATTCAAATTTGTTTTTATAGACAACAGATTATTTAATTAGTGACAATGATTATTATAATATGGAACGTACTTTTTGATTTGAAATAACATACAATTGTTTGGAACTATAATTGCCTTCCGTAATTGTTTTTTAATATTGCAACCGTTTGCAACCTATATGTTGTAAATAGCTGAAACCAATTACAGCAGGCAATTCTATTTGGAACACGTAAATAAAAATTTCAAATGCATTCAATAAAATAATTACTAAGCGTTATATTCTAGATTAAAAAAAAAAACAGATTTATGTAAAACGAAGTAGTTGTAAGACAAGAAACATTGCTAATTTCATTCTTGTCAAAAAATTTTTTAAATATTGATAGAGCATTAAATTTACATTTTCATTAAACGTTTCTTATAAAAAGAAAAAAAAAATTATTACAAAAAGTGGGTTTAAAACCTTTTATTTGACTGATTTCTATACATTCTATACACCAACACTAAAACACCAAGAAAAGCAGCAGTAGCAATGAGCTTAAGAATGAACAACAATCCAAACCAGCTTGAAGACGTAGATTCTTGTCGCGTAATTGGCTGATTAAAAAGAGTTAGTTGTTTGCTGAAACATAAGTTAACAATTATACACGAATATTACCTTCTGAACTCGCGGAGGTACAGAAATCATGTTATTTGTTGTAATACTAATAATATCGTGGCTATCTATAAATTTCAAATATAATATTTACTAAAAGGAAGAAAAACGTTATAAAAAAAGTATTGTGATAAAAAAACACGTACCACTAACATCACCAGTCAATGCGCTGAAACCAAGATAGGAAACAGTAGGGATTGTTATATTATTAATAGTAAAGCATGGCTCCCACTGGTCCCATTCCTTATATTGTAATTTGACCTAGTTTTAACATGTAATGTAATAAGTTGAATATCTAGATATTTCATGAGTAATGAATGTGAAATAAGAATATGAAATAAAATTGTAATATACCTCAAGATAGGTATTCTTGTAATATGTGATGCGAGCTTTCGTTGCAACCGATTTACCACGTATATCAGCCTAAAATAAAAATACATGTTAAATCTTGCTTAACCAATGATAGTCAATTAATATACCATACTACCTCACATCCGGCAAGTTCATTAGATTTACCATCATTTGCATTATCATATTCTGTATGACCGTCACCCAACATTGCCATTACATAGGGAAATGAATGCTAACGATAGCTAAGATAGTAAGAAAGAGTACAAATACGTGAGGAAAAGACAACATGTTCCATGCACCATATTTGTACTTACTGACTGTCTAGAGTTAGCATAAGTGTCAAAGAATATGCCTAATCCTTCGAATTTGTCAATGAATCCAAATACGGGGCCGGGCTTTGCACGGTCTGTGGTAAACCATACAGCCATCCCATCACCATACAAGTTAGGATTATTCCCATCAATTTTGAACTCAAATTCAACCTGCCAGTTCGTAGCTGCCAAAGGCTATTATTAAATGTAAACATTAATAATGAGTATTCGATAATTGGATTTTGCCACAATATTTTTAACGGACTACGTTGTTTTACTCAAGCTTTCAAATTTACACGAATTAATTTATCAATAGCTCACAAAATAAATAAATAATAATAAAATAACTCATACTAATCTACTCCAAAGCCAGCCAGTTTGAGATTGTCGATCGTGTGTCAATCTAATATACTTGTTAGTGTTAATTACTGTGTCGGCACCAAAGTCGAACCAACGATTTTGAAGATCTTGGTCTTAAGTTTGGATTGAATAGCACTTTTATTAGATTTTGTTGCTGATGTAAACTTTAAAATGATAACACTTTATTCTCACCAATATACGGCATATAAAGAGAGTGGGTACGTAATGGAATGACGCTTTCTCCCTGGTAGATTGGCTCGACGCTAGTATTTGCTTTAACAATTATAAAGATAGTGCAAATAGCAAGACCACAAAGGGCCAGGTCTTTAAGCAAAGCAGTCATTGTGGTGAAAGTTCAAAGAATTTCGTTTTCTACAATTATTATATATTGCTAAATTCGGTGGCTGATAACTTGTAGTGCAACACCAATTTATAGGTTTCCATAACGATAATCATGTCAATTTCTTATTTTATTGGAAACTCGCACAATGTCAAGCGGTGAACAACAATTTCGCGAATCATTGCGTTCTTTTCGTTGGGCTTCTAGCTCTAACAACGCTAATATTTCCACGAGTAAGCCTACACCTTTTTCTCGACTTGCTGAAAATACATCAAATTTTTTTGGAAGCATTGGCAATAGGGTGCAAGGATATATACCCTTGACAAACAACAATGGAGAACAAGACGATGACTGGTTCACATTGACCAGATGGCAGGTTAGTTCAATTAGTATTAATTCGTCGTTTTTGCTTATACGTTAACTATTTACATCTTACAGCGACTCACCGGTTTCGGAATATTGTTTGCTTCCGGAGCACTTTGCTTTCTTATCGTAAGACATTTTTCCACCCTGTGATCCTTTACTTAATGTATGGTATAAAATAATATGTATTCGTTTCCAATTGTTGAATAGGCTTTCGTGTCTTTGCCACTTTTGGCCATAAACCCGCGAAAATTTGTGGTTACCTACACGATGGGCAGTCTTTTAATTTTATCGAGGTTTACTATCTTTAAAGCTTTTAAGTTTATGCAGCCTATTAATGGATATTAATTTTAATTATTTGTCTTTATAGTTTTGCTTTACTTCATGGTCCATTAGCACACCTTCGACATATCTTTTCTCGAGAACGTTTGCCTTTCACTATTGCTTACCTTGGCTCGATGGTCGCGACTCTATATTTTGCGATTGGGGTATAGTAGTGCTCTTCTTAATTTATTTATTTTATTATATAGCGTACTAATTAATACTTATATTAATACTTCTAATTCTTTCATTTGAAGTTACGAAACACTATTCTCACTATCATATTTAGCGCCATTCAAGTAATTGCTCTCATATGGTAAGCTGATGATTCGTCAAATTAGGAACATTTAAATTTAAAAAATAACAAAATATTTTCGTAGGTATACTGTTTCATATTTGCCTGGGGGAACTAGCACTTTACGGTTCGGTTCCCGTATGTTTGCTAGGCAAGCCTCTGACATTTTTTCTGCTTGAGATTTGAATATTGAATATTGCTAAGTGACCTACCCTGCACACATTTTATGTGACATATGAACATTTTTATTAATAACTATACTATACACTAAGATGTTGCATTGGTTTAAATATGGTAAACAAACTATATTGTATAATATTATTATATATATTATTTTAATTTTAAATTCGATTATTTATTGTTGTATCCTTAGTTTGGACATCGGGTTTTTTAGATGTAGCATTGAAAAAAACAATTAAAAATAGACACAACGTTATTCTTAATCTGTTATTAAGAACAAAGTTAGCTTTTAGCAAATGTTTTAAAATGATATAATTGGGAATTATCACAATTGTTTTGTTTTAGAGCAACATTAATGAATCAATATTTTGGGAATTACAAAAGTTATTCAAAATCAATTTTATTATTTTAATTCTGCTTTTAAGCTCCATATTTCTTATGTAAGTTGTATATATAAATTAGTTTAAATATTTGAAAAAAATTATATTAAAAAATAAGTTAATATAAATGAAGAAATTAGTAAAGATAGCATATGTATTTTATTATAATTAATACCTATAAATTTCTACCGATCTTACGTGATTATTATTTTAGCAGCCTAGCCGGTCAACTTTATCAAGCTAGCCAATCAAGTTATAAAAAAATAGCCTTATGTTTCTATTTATGAAGTCAATAATTGAACTTAATCATGTTTTTTGTATTCTATTTTTATTTTATTTTATTTTTTTCTTTACAGTTTGGTCTTATTTATTTAGAATTGTTTTTTTTTACTTTATATATTTTTCTGCTAGAAGTTACTTCTTTTTTGAAACTAGTTCTAATTTTTATGTTTTTCTTAAATGATAATTATTTTATATTGTTTTTCTTATGTTTTTAAAAAAAAAATATTTTATGTTGCATTGGAGTTAAAAAATTTTTGGTTAGGTCTTAAAGCATTTTCTTGTATTAAATCTTTAATAATCTTGAATCTATTTGTTTTTTTAATGTTTTTAATAAAAACTCTAAGTTTTATTTTACTTATTTATTTTTGGTTTTTTTAAATAATAAAATTTATATAAGATTAATAGTTACATCTTTTATATTGTTTTAATCTTTTTTATTGTTTTTATAATTTTATAATTTTTGACCTCTAGGGTTGATAGCATAGTGGTTATGCTCTGAGGTTACAAATTACAAAGTTGTCAGTTTAAATCCTAGTAATAGTAATTATAGAGATGTATTTTTAAAAATAGAAAACTGAAGAACAAACTTATTTCCAGAGATGGTAAATAATCTGCAATTGAGAAGCCATGCAGTAACAGACACAAGTTAGAGTCTAATTTGGAATAACCAAAGTCATGAGACATAATGTAAGGTCAAAAGTCTAACAATAAGAGATATTACATAAACTTATGATAATAATCAGTTCTATACAAAGTCTAACAAAGCCTTTTGATCTTAAAAGAGATCAGTGCAACAGATCATTTCTGAGAAGTTTAAAAATATAAACTGAGGAAGATCAAGGTCTAGTGATTTTAAATATCAAGAACATTAGTTTAGAAAGATATAAAAAAACACTATTATAAAACAAATTATTATTATTTTATTTTATTTTATTTTTTTAATATTAAAATAAGACCATGCTTTTAGTCTTTTATTGATATATATTGCTATATATTATACAACTTATATATATCTATTTTAGAATATAAAATTCGGATATATTTATCTGCAACCTAAACCTATCAAAAAATATTATATAAGAAATAATAGAAACTCTTAAAAGAAACATACTAAGAAACAAAAACAAGTATATGATATATATTAATAGTATAGCAAATGAAAAGAATAGAAAAAAAGCAATAGATAAAAACATAGATATAAAATGAATACAGACAAATAAAACACAAGACTAGTCAGAAGAAGAGATAGCATTAGGAGTAAAAAGGTGGCTAACATTAACTATAGCTAATTTATTAGCAATATAGGTAGCAATGTTGACTATATCAGAAGAAAAAAAGATAAAAATATTTACAAATAGTAATGCTACAATTAGGAACATTAGTAGAGAGTTAGAATGCACAAATAAAAATAAAATACTTATGAGAAAGAATGCATTTTGGATAGTAAAGATAATCAACTTAATTAGAACAAAAAACATATAAATAGAGTAATTTAAAATAAAAAGGTATAGTAAAGACAGATAAAATAATAAAGCTGATAGGTTTATAAAAAAAGAAACAATAAGCAAGAAGATTATGTATATAGAAGAAGTCAATTGTAAAGAGATAGAGTATTGCTTGAAATAGAAAAAAAAATAAATAGATATGCTAGCAAGGCTTTTATGCAAATTAGTAACAAATATCTAATTAAATACAGAATAGAGAGAAATAATAGCAATTAAAAATCTAGAACTGATAACAGAAGTATATAATAATTTATGACTATATGTATTTTTGAAAAAGACTAAAGTTAATTAAAAGAGTGCATTGTACAATAAGAAGAAGTAGTATGAGAAAAAATGTATTCATAATATTGAACAAACTCTTAACATTAAAAAAATTTAACAAAAGAAGACCAGATTTATATATAAATACAGAATATTAAGTATATTAAGATAAAGTCAAAAATCTACAAGAATATCTAAGAGACAAGTGAGTCTTTGGAAGAGAATACAAAAAAGTATCCATTATAATAGCATAGAAAAGATTAAAAGAAGAAGAAAAAACTAGAGTTTCATCTTATATATTATATATAGCACTTTTTGGAAAAACAAAAATAGAAGAAATAAAAATAAGAAAAGTATTAATTAAGAATTTAATTTTGAAAACAATTCAAGATAGATTAGCATAGCTTCTAAATACAAGAACAAGACAATAATTTGTTAATATATTAGTAAAAACAGTCTAAAATACTTTTTATGAACAAGTTTAAAGAACATGATGTAAAAAAGTTAATAAATAAGAAAAAAGAACAAGAATAACTAATAAAATAAAAAAAGAAAATCAAAAGAAAAAAAAGAATCCAAGAAAAAAAAAAGGATTAGTTAGCAAGAAATAGAAAAGAAAAAAAAGAAATCAAAAGAAAAGGAAAAACAGATTAACAATGAAGCCAGGAAAACAATTTTGGAACTTGTTGTAAAAAGAAGAAGTCTCTTTTATTATAGACTTTAAGTAGTTAAACAAGCAGCTTATTTTTGCTTGAAGTAATATAACAAATTGCATTTAAGCATCATTAAAGTAGTCAGATAATATTAGACTTAGTTGTTAGATACATTTATATAATTGTAATAGTAATTTCAAGAATCTTAATAAAGTACTAGTATAACTATTTAAAGAAAATATATATATATATATGTATCTTAAGCTATTAAATATTTATTAAATATTACTTTTAAACTAACTAATACCTTATATTAACCTTTTATAATCATATTGAAGTTTTTTTCTTTTATATAGTTTTTTATTTTTTTATTTTTTTATTTTTTTTTAATCTTAAACAGTTATACTAGTACTTTATTAAGATTTTTTTTTTTTTTTTTTTTAAATATTAAGGTGAGTACTTGCGACCCAGGATTTTATTGATAGTACATTCAGCT